ATATATATATATATATATATATATATATGTATATATATACATATATATACATATATATATATATATATATATATATATATATATATATATATATATATATATATACATATATATATATATATATATATGTGTGTGTGTGTGTGTATGTGTGTGTGTGTGTGTGTGTGTGTGTGTGTGTGTGTGTGTGTGTGTGTGTGTGTGTGTGTGTGTGTGTGTGTGTGTGTGTGTGTGTGTGTGTGTGTATCTATATACAGTATTCTTTTTTCCGATCATTATTTCACAGCTTTCAGCACCGTGCGACAAATGAGCGTAACACAGAACCATTAATCTTGCAACAGGTGTCAACAACACTGACAAATTATCCTTTTCAGAAGAACAAAGGACAACAGTGCAAAGGGATCTAATTGATCGGTCGAATCATTAACCCGGATGATAAGGTAAATTTGGATACATATTAGTCACCCATACGCGTTTTCATAAGGATTCTGTTATTGAGTTATTTGATAATATAAGTATTATAAATATCCACTAATAAAAAATGATTTTAAAAAACCCTTGTCTGGAGATGCAATGGATAAAACTTCCATTTTCTTCTTCTTCTTCTCTTCCTCTTTCTCTTTTTCTTTTTTAGCTTTTCGAGTCGGTTATAATCTACACACTCAACACTGCAAAGTCATTCATACCGAGCTGACCGTAGAATAATACATTAATGATTGCTCTCTACCTCTATTTCTCCTTCTCTTCTTCTTCTCTCCCCATTCCTCTCTTTCTGTTTGAAAGTTGTTTATATCCACTATTCTAGTATTTTCTCATATCCTCATTTCCATTTTTACTTCATTTTCTCCTTTTGATAATATATACCTTCGATTCTTTTTCTCAATTAAAATCAAAGTTCACTGAACAGAATAAGTGATTGTTGATTGAATGTCTTCTCAATTAGTCGAAAAAGCGTTCCTTTCTGCGTCAATATTTCATCGCTTCCTCCGCAAAATTAGGTTAACTTCACTCTTGTTTTGCTAGTGTGAGACAAATCCGTCAACCTGTATCTCCGCATATTTGCTAAAGTTATCAGTATATCTAGATAAATGTGTACACAGACATACACACAAATACATGTGTGTGTGTGTGTGTGTGTGTGTGTGTGTGTGTGTGTGTGTGTGTGTGTGTGTGGTGTGTGCGTGTGTGCGTGTGTGCGTGTGTGTGTGTGTGTGTGTGTGTGTGTGTGTGTGTGTGTGTGTGTGTGTGTGTGTGTGTGTGTGTGTGTGTGTGTGTGTGTGTGTGTGCATACATGTATAAACATATATATGTATATATATATAACATATATATATATATATATATATATATATATATATATATATGTATGTATGTATGTATTTGTGTGTGTGTGTGTGTGTGTGTGTGTGTGTGTGTGTGTGTGTGTGTGTGTGTGTGTGTGTGTGTGTGTGTGTGTGTGTGTGTGTGTGTGTGTGTGCCCAAGATCTACAGGTGACCTTCCCTGTGCTAATTTATGGCTAAGTTCTCTGACGGAGTTTCGGGGCCTCTTCTGCCTGACCTTCAAGTATCAGATACTGCAGGCCAGACTCTCCACAACCGAAAAGAATAACTGGCAACCTTCTTACAGTTCCCATCCTTAACGACGCCATATTTACCTATTCTTTTAAGATTTATTTTTTTAATTTTACTTTTTTTCCACTAAATCGCCTCTTAGCTGACCTTCTGACCTCTCCCTCCTCTTCTGCCTCAGTCTCTTATCCTTTGTCGCTCAATTTATCCTCATTTTCGTCCATCTCTCTTCCCTCTTTTATCTCTGATCTGAGAACATGTCTGAAGTGGGAGCTTGAAATATTAGGCGGTTAAATGCCTTTAAGACATATATCTTTAGTCTATCACAATACGATGAAATTTTACTTTAATCAATACCTTGGTCATCCTTATCCTTCTGTACGTATTAATCAATATTATTATATCTGTTGATAAAATGAATCAATGAATAAGTAAACAATAAATGCCAGTATTTCTAGTACATTTTCTGCTTGACTCATTTAGAACATGACCCTTATATAATGAGGTGTTCCTCCTTTTGTTTCCATACGCGACGGACTAGAATCCGAGTTAACTAGGGGGCATGAGTGATTCTCCTTCTATTGCTGAGCAACGTTTCTCCGCCATAAGCCTCCCTCCTCACTTTATACTCAGGGCCCAGGCATAGCGGGAGGGAGCTCTATTGTGGGGCCCGGTAGTTTGGGGGAACCGTGACAATCGCTTGTTCATTTTAACGACTGTTATCTGAGGAGGAGGATTAAGAGTAACAAAAACGAAGGACGAAGGATCCCTTAAGAGCCCAAAAATCTCTAAAATTCAGCAAATACCGTGATGACACGAGGTCCCTAAGGGCAGAAGGGGAGTAGGGAAAAGACCCGGGTTTACTCAGGTTCTTGGGACCGAAAGGGTGATGCTTGGGCCCTCTTTACACGAACGACATCCCTCTTACCTTCAAGGAGACAACGTAACACTCGCTAGGCCTCTGCTATGCATTTCATAAATGTTTGGATACGAGAAAATTTAGCAACTTTGGATAGATATACATAACAACCGTTTTTTCTCCTCTCCTTCCATACTTTGCATCTATCTCCATACTTCTGGTTTCGCTATAATTAAGTATCTTCTCGGCATTTATCGTCTTCTCAAAAAATCTAATTTTGTTCCTTCGTTTACTCTGTAAACTTTCTATTCCCCCGAGACCGGGGTTTGAGGGGGGATAGGCCTATACCGTTAGCCTTCTACATACATACTCTAATATATATATATATATATATATATATATATATATATATATATATATATATATATATATATATATATTATATATGTATATATATATATATATATATATATATATATATATATATATATATTATATATATATATATATATATATATATATATATTATATATATATATATATATTATGTGTGTATGGCAAGAGTGAAAGAGACAGAAAGGAAAGGCGAGAGAGACACACACACAGAGAGAAACGCATAGACAGACTGACTGACTGAAGGGAAAGTGAGAAAAAAAAGCAAATAGACAGACAGATTTGGAAGAGGAGAAATACCCAAAAATATAAGCAGGGCAAACGGAGTCGGAGCAGAGGAAAATTCACGCGTAATTTAAGAAAAACAAAAATCTGTCTAAACACTTGAAATAAGGAGAAAAACTAAAAATATGTTTCCTTGATAAACACGCCTGAACTAGGGGTCACGAATAAATAGTTCAGGCTCTATAAGGTCTATAAATGACTTGGTATAGAGGAGAGCACGACCTTTTGTTATTGCACCTGCCACTTAATTTTTCCTTTTCTATATCCTCTCTCTCTCTTTCTCTCCAACTCCCTCTCTCCCTATTTATCTTTTTTCTTTTTTTTTCTTTTTTTTTTGGGGGGGGGGATGAGGGGGGACGAAATAAATGACGATAGGATGAACAAAGAACAACGGTAACAGGGGCTGAACTATTCGGTTTGTCATTCGTAAATGGTAAGCTACCCTGACAAAAAAAATAATAAATAAAAATAAGTGTACAGTAACCCCATCATTTTTCATCAATATAATGTTCATTTACAGTACAATGCCAACTATAAATGCTGCCGGCATATTTCCACGATAGTCAATGATATTCAGTCATCGCTTTGCACTTTAAAAGACTCTGTACATTGGACTTAACGAACCTTAGACGATTCGCTAATAGCGTTGAGAAAATTGATTGCTCTAAGAAATATCTTGTGAAATTATGGGAAAGGCTAGATCAGTAGTAACTCGAGGAGGTTATGACGTCAGATTTTGATGACGTCACAAAAGTTGCGATTCTATTTTTGGAAAAAAAAACACATAGGGTTTATTATTTAATTTGGTCTTGTCAATTTTCAAAAAGGATGGAAAATAATTATTTTAATGGTTATATTTTCACTGAACAATCATCGAAAACAGCCCTGTGGACGAGAAGAGTGGGCGATATGTTTATGCATGATTCTCAAGTGGAATTGCTCGCAGTGGGAGTCAAGCCAAAAGACTGTATTATTTTTTACTTTTTTATCTGTTTATTTATTTATTTATTTATTTTTACTCAGCTTGAAGGAATTATGTAAACCTACTTTTATTACCTCCATGGACTTAATGAATGAATAAAAGGTATTTCATTTAATGTGCAGGATACCAGGCCGGGCTATTTTTAGAATAGCACATGTTTACATTTTGTACAATATCTAACAATTTTTAAGTTTCAATGGCTTTTCAGGCGTTTTGACTTCATAAAGTCTTGTTGGTCTGGTATTCTACACATTAAATAAAATACCTTTCATTCATTCATTGAGTGCATGGAGGTATTAATAAAAGAAGGTTTACTTAATTCCTTCAAGCAAAATAAAAAATATAGGCTTATGGCTTGACTCCCACTTGGAAATCATACATACATAAACATAATCGCCCACTCTTCTCATCCACAGGGCTATTTTGATGATTGTTTAATGAAAATATAACCATTAAAATCATTATTTCCCATCCTTTTTGAAAATTGAAAAGACCAAAACGATCAACCATATTCACCGCTCGTCCAGCAGTGCACGTGGTCGTAGGTACTTCGTAATTTCTTATAACTGATTCGAGTGAAAGATTATCATCCTCATCAATTTCGCAATAAAATTGTCCATTCACGTTTTGACATAATTCTTGGCAGCAGAGCAGGCTGTCCGGCCAGTTCGTGGGTGCCGCCAGCGTCAAAGAAAAACCCTATGTGCTTTTTTCCAAAACAGAATCGCAACTTTTGTGACGCCATCAAAATCTGACGTCATAACCTCCTCGAGTTGATACTGATCTAGCCTTTCCCGTGAAATTATGCTGGTGGTACGTAATCTTGGCACCTATCGGCAAAAAAAACGTTTTTTTGGCGTATCAATGATTTCTAAAATGTAAGATGTTAACCAAAACATTTAAAAGTAAAACCCCGATCTGAAGCATTCCATCACATTAAATAAGTTTTGCAAAAGATGAAACACTGACAAAATACGAACGGAATATAGACGTAACGTTTCGAGTTCTCAGACTTTTCCGAACCCGAAACAGTGCTTCCATATTCCGTACATATTGTTTCTTTTCATCTATATGTTACACGTTAGTGTGTGTGTATTTGCATTCACAAATTTAACAACACTCATCTGATCTCTAAAACCAATATATTTCCAGTAATATTTTTATTTAAAAAAATGATACGTAGACATATCGACGGCAAAAAGTAAACAAAGGCCCGACCCAAAGAATATTCGTATACTTAACATGCATAAATAAATAAAGAAATGCATATTTATCAGTCAAGACATGTATATCCGGGCAAATAGATAGTTAAATGTATATCTATCAGATATACAGACATATATGCCCTTATTTCTGCGACAGTATTTATGAACATTCACAGGCCTGGCACAATTTTAACAAACCGGCCGAATATCACCAGTTTCCATTCCTATTTCCAAGTAAACATTCATACTTTCCTGTCAGCAACATACCTCATAGAATCAGTCACCATCAGTCCTTCCTTGGCTGATGTCTCCGTCCATCCCGTAAAGCTGTGATCTTTGTACAATTTCTCGATTTCTAGCTGGTCGACTTGGCGGTGGGGCAAGTCGCACTGGAATGCAGTTGGGAAACGTTAGACAGGCATTCTGTATTCAGGCATATGTGTAGAGATGTAAAAAGGCACAGTTTGCTAGTAGATTATAATCATCATCATCATCATCAATGGCACCATTGTTATTATTACTATTATCATTGTTATTATAATTATCATTTCTATTATTATCATTATCATCATCATTTTATACTATATCATTATCATTATATATACTACTAATACGAAATCTAATATGGTATAATAACAATAATGATAAAATATTAATGATAATAATAATGATATAATGGTAATGATTTTAATAATAATAATAATATATAATAATAATAATAATAATAATAATAATAATAATAATATCAGAATAGTAGTAGTAGTATTAATGATAATGATAATGGTAATAGCAGAAAAATAGTAATGATAATCATAATAATAATAATAATTAAATAACAATACTACGCATGCACAAAATGATGGTAACAATATTGATAATAATAATAATGATAATAATAAATGATAATGAAATTAATAATAATAATAATAACAATGATAATAAATAATTAATAATAACAGCAATAATAAGAACAATAAGATGAATAATAAGAACAATAACAATAACAATAGCAATTGTAACAATAAAAACAATAGCAATGATAATAACAAATAATACACATACACTCAGACAAACACCACATTCAACTAAACCTTAGGCACAAAGACCAACACACAAACAAACCCATTGTAAAGTCGCGGTCGCCAATTTCGTCGAGACCGTTTCGAATCCCGTTTCGAATTTCTGCTTAATACCACACTTATAGCATAGGCCGAGACAGATTCGAAGCTTCATTCCGTTTCGATCCTCCGCTCAACACCACACTTTTAGCATAGGCCGAGACAGATTCGAAGCTTCATTCCGTTCCGAACCTCCATTCATTCCGAAAACACCACACTTTTAGCATAGGCTGAGACAGATTCGAAGCTTCATTCAACCTCCGCTCAACACCACACTCCGAGACAGATTCGAAGCTTCATAGCTTAGGAGACAGATTCGAAGCTTCATTCCGTTCGAACCTCCGGCTAGCTGAGAGAAGCTCCATTCCGTCTCGAACCTCCGCTCAACACCACACTCTTTGCTTAGACTGAGACAGATTCGAAGCTTCAATTCACCAAAGGTCCGTCATTCCATACCTTGTTCGCCAGCAGCATGCAAGGAATGGGGCTCCCGTCTTCAAGTGTGCATTTAGAATCCACGTCCTTCTTCCACTTGAGTGTGTTGAGGAAGGAGTTGCGGTTCGTGAGGTCGAACATGATGATGCAACCTTGCGCGTCCTTGTAGTACACGCGGGTCATCCATGTGAACCTCTCTTGACCTGGAATGAGATGGGTTTGTGTGTTAGGCTTTTGTGGCAAGACTCGAGGTGTTGGAATGCTGTTATTATTTTTCTTATCTTGATCCTCATTATCATCATCACTACATCATTATTTATTATTGTTATTATCATATATTTTTTATTATTGTTATGAGCATCGTTCTTTATTAGTGTTACCATCCTTATTTATCAGTATTATCATTCTTTTTGTAATTTCATTATTATTGCCTTGTTCATTATTATCATATTTTTTGTTATTTCATCATTATTGCCATCATTGTTGCTAACAAATAGAATCATTACGGTGTTATTGTCATTATAATTAAGTGATTATTAGCATCATCAGTCTCACTGCTAAGTACTACTACTACTATGAAGTTTTATATACCATATTTTTTTTCTGTCTCTTTGTCCATCTACCTATTGATCATTTTATTATCCACGCCATCTTTGTTAGTAGTAGCCTTTAATATATGATCATTATAATTATCATTACAACTATCATTATTATTATCAGCATCGTTATCATCGCTACTATCATCAGTAGTAGGAACAGAACAATATTAATAGTAATGAACATACTAAACCTATGAATAAAAGTATTGATACTATTGATACCACCAAATCATTCATTCATTTTCTCTCTGACCTACACAATTACACATTCACAATACACCGACATCGAAGCTTATTTTTTAGCCCCACAAGATACTACATATACCTTGCGAGTGAAAAGGTAACAGAAACCTTAACTTATGATCATATCTTGAGAGGAAACAAGCCATGTAATGTACTCAGGATTATGCAGGGCTTCTGTTGAGTACCGCTTGGTCGTCTCTGATGTTACCGCCTGGCATTGCGCTAGACCTCTGAGACTGCACCCTGTGATGTTGTGTGTACATTGTGATGTTATCGAAAATCATTGTAAATTCTGATGTTTTCGAAGGGGATTGTAAATTGTGATGTTGTTCTTGAAAATGATTGTAAATGTTCTCGAAATGATTTAAATTGCGATGTTGAGAATATCGATGATTGCGAAAATGATTGTAAATTGCGATGTTCTCGAGAATCGAAATAATTGTGATGTTGTTCTTGAAAATGATTGTAAATTGCGATGTTCTCGCGATGTTCTCGAAATGATCTAAAATGATTGTAAATTGTTATTATCGAAAATGATTGTTAGAAAGGTTTATTATTTGTTGTAGTTATTGTATCAGTATATCATTACCATTATGAATTGTTTTTTTCGTTTTAGAAAGGTTTATTATTGCTGTTAGTAATTATCTTTACCACTGCCACTGTTCTTATAATCATCTTTATTTTTAACATTGTTACTTTCTGTTTGGCACAGATGGAAGGTTTTGGCATAATCATCATTCATAATTATCATCATATTCATTACCCGCAGATTTTGGCATTATCTTCATCCTAGCTATCATTTTATATCACCTTCGTCAACATCATTACATCCATTATCATAATCGAGGTTATTCTTATCATTAACACTATCATTATCATTTTATCTCATGTCGATTCAAATTTTTGGAATTTGTTTTACAAACCGATCCTGTCTTTATTTTCGTATTAATATGCATTTAATTCATGAAACACGTACAAATTAATATGTAGCGTGTGGAATGCAAATAGCTGAATATACATAAACTAATTAAAACTGAGATTATATTTTGCTTTAGACATTCTTAACTAACTCTCTCAATTCGAAAATGGCTTAAAAGATTGATTTTCATTTTTTCATTTCATCATTTTTTTTTCTTTTTTAGTAATAGACAGACTTCCGAAAGTTGAAACTGCATGATACCAAAAAACTACCAGTAGATAAAAGATAAAATTACACCATATCACAATCAACCGATCATTTAATCTGCGGGACTAACTCTGCATTTCTCACGGGCCTCCTTCCCCATAACAGTCCCTGGCAGAGTCAACCTGATGGGCGAGAGATTCCTTAGGGAGTCAAGGGAAGTGTCCGTGAAGTGTGAGTTGGGATCTAGGATTGTGCGAGTTACAGGTCCTGCTATGTAGAAAGGTATGAATGAGAATGAACATCTTCCCAATACAAGAGATGTATTTGGCCGGTTTCGAATATATATTCATCAGAAAAGAAACATGTATTTCTGATTTTTGACGATATATTCGAAACCGGTCAAATCCATCTTTTGTTTTGTGAGGACATTCATTCTCATTCATACCTTTCTACATTTGTCAACATGAATGCGTTTCACAGTCCTACTAATTGTACCCCCCACCCCCACCTGGACCGAGTGAGGATTTTGGTTCAGCAGCTAAGTAGACTAGTGACGCCAAGCCCCCCTAAGCCACCGTTACCATGTCAGCCCGTCCTTTGACTTCCTGACATCCCGCAGTCATGTAAGTCAAATTCTGAGTGACTTCGACGCCATTACTACAAGCACGTAGCGGTTGATCGGGTCCTCCCAACACAATCTCAAGACGTGGATCCTGGTCCAGGAGATCTCTATACCCTGGGGCTTCACCTCTCCGTTAATTACTTCGAGAGACACCACTGTAGGGTTTCCAAAGACTGATAAGACAGCAACATCATCGGTAAGGCCTAGGTCAGTTGCCTCAATACTACCTAGTGTCGCCCTGCAATGACTTCAGACGCCAGCTGTAGCCTGTATCCAGTCCACGCAGGTGTTGGAAAAAGGGTGCAAAAACATACCCTTACTTCCCTGATGCGGTCACTCTCCTTGGCTGCATCTCATGAATTACTATACCAAAAGGAGAGACTTGACTATCTAAAGAAACCTAAACCAATACTAAAAATCTAAATAAAAGAAAAAATAAAAGTAGAGACTTGACTATCTAAAGAAACCATAACCATTAGTAAAAATCTAAACAAAAGAAAAAAGAAAAGTAGAGACTTGACTCTAAAGAACCCTAAACCATTAGTAAAAATCTAAATAAATAAAAAATAAAAGGAGGGACGACTCTAAAGAACCTAAACCATTAGTAGAATCTAAATAAAAGAAAAAAGGAGAGACTTGACTATCTAAAGAAACCTAAACCATTAGTAAAAATCTAAATAAAAGAAAAAAGAAAAAGGAGAGACTTGACTATCTAAAGAAACCTAAACATAGTAAAAATCTAAATAAAAGGAAAAAGAAAAGAGGGACTTGACTATCTAAAGAAACTAAACCATTAGTAAAATCTAAATAAAAGAAAAAATAGAAGTAGAGACTTGACTCTAAAGAACCCTAAACCATTAGTAAAAATCTAAATAAAATAAAAAAAATAAAAGGAGGGACGACTCTAAAGAAACCTAAACCATTAGTAAAAATCTAAATAAAAGAAAAAAAGGAGAGACTTGACTATCTAAAGAAGCCTAAACCATTAGTAAAAAATCTAAATAAAGAAAAAATAAAAGGAGAGACTTGACTATTTAAAGAACCTTAACCATTAGAAAAAAGAAAAGGAGAGACTTGACTATCTAAAGAAACCTAAACCATTAGTAAAAATCTAAATAAAAGGAAAAAGAAAAGGAGGGACTTGACTATCTAAAGAAACTAAACCATTAGTAAAAATCTAAAATAAAAGAAAAAAAGAAAAGGAGGGACTTGACTCTGTAAAGTAACGTAAACCATTAGTAAAAAATAAAAGAAAAAAATAAAAGGAGAGACTTGACTCTCTAAAGAACCCTAAACCATTAGTAAATATCTAATAAAAGAAAAATAAAAGTAGAGACTTGACTATCTAAAGAAACCTTAACCATTGGTAAAAATCTAAATAAAAGAAAAAAATAAAAGGAGGACCTGACTATCTAAAGAAACCTAAACCATTATAAAAAAATCTAAATAATACCACCACAAAAGAAAAAAATAAAAGGAGGGACTTGACTATCTAAAGAAACCTAAACCATTAGTAAAAATCTAAATAATACCACCACAAAAGAAAAAATAAATAAAAGGAGAGACTTGACTATCTAAAGAAACATAAACCACAAAACTAAATACGGCGAAGCAAAAATAGATACAGGAAACCTAACCTAACAGGAAAAAAAACACAATTTCCTATACAAAACACATCGTCGGCATAGATACAAAGGAACCCCATCTGACAGCGCCCATGACATACAAGACGTGATCAGTGATATGCCAGGGACTAAAAACACGTGCATGACACTGCCTCCACCATGGAGTTTAGACGCGCCAGTTCATGAGAGGAGTTTGACTCAGCTCATGAGGAGCATTTGACTGTCGGTCTATGAGAGAACTTTGACTGTCAGTTCATGAGAGGAATTTGACGGTCTATGAGAGAACTTTGACTTGTTGTGAGAGTTTTGACTGGTTCATGAGAGGCTTTGACTGACTGGTCCTTTGACTGTCAGTTCATGAGAGGAATTTGACTGTCGGTCCATGAGAGAACTTTGACTGTCAGTTCATGAGAGGAATTTGACTGTCGGTCTATAAGAGAACTTTGACTGTCAGTTCATGAGAGGAATTTGACTGTCGGTCTATGAGAGAACTTTGACTGTCAGTTCATGAGAGGAATTTGACTGTCGGTCCATGAGAGAACTTTGACTGTCAGTTCATGAGAGGAATTTGACTGTCGGTTTAGTTCATGAGAGGGAATGACTGTCAGTTCATGTCTGTCGGTCTATGAGGAGACTGTCAGTTCATGAGAGGAATTTGACTCAGTTCACGAGAGAACTTTGACTGTCAGTTCATGAAAAAACCGTCAGACTGTCAGCATATCATGGTGGGGGGAGAAGTCTGAGTTTTGTCAGCCTGTTTCTTGAAGATGACCTGTAGTCTAAAAATATTTTTTGTAGTACCTTTTTCTAATTCGAAAAATATGAGCTTATTGTTACTCTAGTGTTTTAATATTAAGATAGCAGGTGGTAACTCATCAATATTATTAATACCATCGTTTTGGTTATTGTCCATAGAACATAAGTATCACTATTAATACCTTTCTCATTATTAAAGTGCTGCAACCATATGTAGTTCCTGTGTACTACAATCATTATTATTAGTATCACAATTATTAGTTATTATGATTACTACTATCATCATTATTATTATTCCTATTTTCGTTTTCGTTATTGTCATCATTATTATTATCATAACTGTTATTATTTTCATTAATATTATTGTTATTATGATTATCATTATATTATATCATTATTATCATTACTATTATTAGCATTATTATTATTAGCATTATTATCATTAGCATTATTACTATCATTATCATTATTATTAACATTATCATTATTATCATTAATATTGTCATTATCATTATTATTATCATTAATGTCATTAATATTATCATTATTCTTTATTCATTAACATCATCATCATCATCATTATTAATGTTATTATTATCACTGTCATCATCATTGTTATTACTATTATAACCATTGCTCTTCCTATTATTAGTAGTATTATCCTTATCATCTCATTATTATTAATTATTATTATTGTTATCATTATTATCATCGTTGTTATTAATATCATCATTATCATTGATCACATATATTATCATCATCATTATATCATCATTATACTATGTCATTTCTTGTTCTGAAGTTCTTATCATTAACATGTTTTTGCTGTCACTGATACCCTCATTATTGTCATTAGTGTCATCAATATCATCATCTTTTTTAACGTTTTCCTTTTATCATCATTGTCACTGCAATGGCTCTTAATGTTAAGTTAATCATTTTAATCATTGATATTTCTTTTGCAATATTATTATCATCGTTACTGATTCTGTAACCTTTCACATCTCTGTAATGGTAATATCACAAAAGTCATTACGTTTATCGGTAAAGGTCCAAGTACTACCAGAAAGCTATCAGTCCTATTATTTTGTTGCTATTTCCCAAGTTCTACGGACTGTTGAAAAAATCTGCGTAATAATTTTTATAAGGTTTTATTTGACCTAATTTGAAGTCCTAGTACCTATCTTCAAATACGTATTTTGCGTGTAGTTGCGTCGTGTGTGTGTGTGTGTGTGTGTCGTGTGTGTGTGTGTGTGTGTGTGTGTGTGTGTGTGTGTGTGTGTTCTCTCTCTCTCTCTCTCTCTCTCTCTCTCTCTCTCTCTCTCTCTCTCTCTCTCTCTCTCTCTCTATCTCTCTATCTATCTATCTATCTATCTATAGATATAGATAGATATATACATATATACGTATGTTTAAATATATATATGTATATTATATATATATATATATATATATATATATATATATATATATATATATATATATATATATATATATATATATATATATAGAGAGAGAGAGAGAGAGAGAGAGAGAGAGAGAGAGAGAGAGACAAGAGAGAGAGAGAGAGAGAGAGAGAGAGAGAAAGAAGAGAATGAGATAGGCATGGAGAGCCATACTCAGAGAGAGAGAGAGAGAGAGAGAGAGACGCGAGAGCGAGAGACTGACAGACAGACAGACAGACAGAGAAATATAAGAGCATGGAAACAGATAGATTTCTAGCTCATAGTTCCATCGCGTTCTAGAGCCCACCTGCAATATCCCAAAGCTGCAACTTTATCGTCTCAGAGTCGGACCATTTGAGGATCTTGAGCGCAAAATCGACTCCTACTGTCCCCTTGTAGTCCCTCCTGAAGGAATCTTGCACGTAGCGTTGCACGAAGGATGTCTTGCCCACAGTAGGATCCCCTATAATGATCACTTTGAAGAGCCTCTCCGTCATCTCCGGCACCTCTGGAAGGAAAAGGTAGGATATAATAGTCTCTCCTGTGCAGCGACGTTTAACGTTTTCTTTGGATGGAATCATTTTTAAAAATCTGTTTATTTATAGATCTATCTCTGTTTTGTCTTACTTACTACAGTAAGGTTAAAATGAAACAGTGATATGAATAGTTATAGTGGGGGTGCACGTGTTAATGATTATATATATATATATATATATATATATATATATATATATATATATATATATATATATATATATATATATATATATTATATATTTTTTTTTTTTTTTTTTTTTTTATGGTAATAATGATAACATTAACAGCAATGGTAGTTAATAGTGATAGCGGTGATGTCGATGATGCAAAGATAATGAAAATAATACAATTAATAATCAGAAAAACATGCTTTCATAATCATGTAGTGATAATTTGGCATTGCAGATCTTCGCAAGTCCAATTTCTGCAAAATAACTTACCGCCATTATTGCTCTGTGAATCCTCTTCGTCTTGTAGTTTCTTTAGATAATAACCGCCCTCTTCTGGTCCTCTTCTCCGGATCATCTTGTTTTACTAACCGTTGTATGTCTGTTATCCAGGCTTAGGGGATCTAACCCTCTTGTCGATGTTTTTTATGGTATTGGAATCTCTTTCTTTTGGTATATTTAACTCATTCGTTTATAGATTCTTTAATGCAGAGAAAATGTGCTTTCATATGTTTCTCCCGCCGCTATCCAGCACAGGTTACCCCAAACCCAGAGATATTACTGTGTCTAGAAAGAAATGAGAAGGACTAAGCTCCATGCGGGTCCTAACAAGCTTCGGTCTAGATTTTTTTGTGTGATTTGTCAGGTGATTGGTCAATTGTGTGAATTACCTCCCCTCGAGCACCGTGATTGCTTGTTATTGCTTGATAGCAGTCTGTTTTCTTTTTTTCTTCCTTTTGTGTGAGTTAGAGTGATTGGCTGCCCTTCTATGCAATGGTCTAAGATGAAGCCTAGAGAAAATACCTCGATAACGTGCTTTACTTGTGTCTATTGTAACCATACGGGTACGTTAAGCCTACTATAAAAGCGCGTCACGCTACTGCTATACTTATTCTAACAGTCGCTATGTTGTAAAACGAAATCGAAGCGAAGGCCTATGTGCTACTACTCTACTGAGGCCGAGGCTGACTCATGCAACTACACTACGTTGACCTTTTTTTTAGCTTTAATCCTACTTAGCCACACGAATCCTTCAGGCCACCTATGAATCGCAATCCAGTCAGAAGCCATGCATGAACCGTCTGCGAACCCGTCAGTCTTCTTTTCTGGCAGCGTCGGTGGTTTTCTTGGCGGGGGTCTTCGCGTCTTTCTTTTCCTTCTTGTCTGGGGCCCCTTGCTGCTCTCCCTCGGGATCTCGGGAATCCCTAACGACCACCACGACCGGGTCTTTCAGCAGCCTCATCTGGTCCAGGATGAGGTAGAAAGCGGCGCCGAAGACTCCGGTTAGGACCAGCTCAGCCAGCATGGTGTCTTTGCGGTTCGGTTGGCAGCGACCGTCGTGAGAGACCCCGGGGAGACCGACAAAGGTTCTAGGACTCTGGCTTCGTGTGGCAGTAACGGCAAAAGACCCAATGTTTACTCTGAGGTCAGAAGGATTTACTAATTTGTGTCAATGGCATGTGTTAATGTTGTTGGTTTTGTGGCTGTGATATAACTGTTGGTCCTAATTTATAACCTGGTTTTGCGGTTCGCTAATGTTTGTTATGATCATGCGAAACGTTTGAGATTACAAATCTAAACGTTTTGTCACTTTCACTCCTTTCACTTTTCCCTGTTTTTAACAAGAAATCAGATTATACAGTAATCTTATCTTACAAACTTGCTGTGTGCTGAAACGAAATATTCCGACTCTAACAATGGCTAATCGAACTCACTCCACGATCACAGTCTCAGTCGCCAAACGAATTGGAGGTTCCCCTGGAGACCCACCTCCACCTCCAACGAACTGGAGGTTCCCCTGGAGACCCACCTCCACCTCCAACGAACTGGAGGTTCCCCTGGAGTTCCACCTCCACCTCCAACGCCTTAGACCTCGAAGGTCTTCCCAGGGACGGTGAACTGACCCTCCGCGAGCACCGCCCTTTTGTTGCAGTTGGTCCAAAGGCACACGATCATGACGCACATCAGCATCATCCCTGACAGCAGCGCTTCCGGCACCATCCTTCAGTGTCTTCAGTTCTCTAAGTGTCTCGCAATCAGATTTTTTTTTCTTTCTCTCGAACACGGACGTTTTCTGGTCCTTATTTGACAAGAAAAGGCCGTCCTACAGGGAGTCTACTTGTTTCTCATGGGAGTTCATTGAACCTAAATACTATGATCCATGTCCTTATAGCCAGGCAAGTCGCTGGAACGTACAAGACATTGGATTACTGCCTCGGAACATGCTTCACGTAGACGTCTCAACAGGAGACACTCATTAAAGAATTCATGGCCAAGAATGACATTTATTATAAATTGATACCATTCATGGTGGCATCCATAAAGTCTATGGTAATGACAAGTACCTTAAATTTGAGGCCTATGCCAGTCCTAGATTTGTACAGTGAAAAGAAAATCTAACTGAGAAATGACTACTATTTTTCTGATTTTACTTTAAAAACTATGAAGTTCCATTCATAATCTTCTCCATTAGGTGCAGTTAGTCATTCTTGCAGTCATTTCACAAAAAGAAATATTTAATTTAGTTTACTTACGCGTAGAGGAAAACATACTACTCGTTTACATAGTATACACTGGCATTGTAATTTTTCAGCCAAATTATATATTCACCGAAACAGACTTCAGGTAACATTTCACGTCTCACAAGCACTAAAATACACGCGTTCACCTTAGAGAGAACAACACATCGCAGAGGTCTAGAGGGCAGTCGCGGCCACCATTAGCGTCTTGGCCGAGTCCAGCCTCCATGATGACTTGTAGTTTGCACTGCGCCGTAATATGCGCACACCCGCGTATGCTAAACTGCTACCCGTAACCGAGTTTTTAATCACGACAGGAAAGGAAAAAACACACGCGCAGGTTATCCCCAAGAATACATGGGCGGGAGATGCCTCACGCGACACCAGGTACAGCGACAGGACACGTAGGAGCGCGGGCGTGGCACCGTAATGAAGGAGGCGCTGCTTACTGAGGCACGCGCGGCCGAGTCCTCCGCTGCACCGAGCCTCACGTGGCCATGATTCCACGCCGCCTTCCCTCCCTCGCCCTCGCCCGCAAGTTCCCCTTTGGAGCCCTTCCCGCGGCTCGGAAAGACGTGGGAGTGCATTACCTTGATCCGTAACGCAGAGGTCCTGTCAAACGGTTTCGCAATTTGAAATACCCTGCAACTGCATGTTATCCCTACGTTTCAATGTCCGGAGGATGCTGCGGTTGGGCGAGCAGAGGGGGGGGGGGAGGCTGCTGGTGACTAGTTCGTGACACGTGACAACGGGCCGTCTGCCTCGGCTGAAAGGTGATACGTGAACCACGGGGCATTGGCACAACAGATCGCTATCCCAAAAGCGAGGCCTGAGCAGCAGCAGGCAAGGGAGGAGAGATGAGTCAATAGATGGGAAGATGAGCCTCCCTTTCAGCCCTGCATCTCATAGGCTGTGAGATTGGTCTAATCCGCGGGTGAAGACGCTCGCCACGGACAAGGCCTTGTCACGTACGCGGCCTCGAACAGACTTTCAAGCAACTTTCGTCACTGGAAAGACCGATGATGTAATGATTACGTAAAGCAAAACTTAAGTAGCCTTACTACTTTTCAGTCGGCATTGGAGCCCCTGCGGTCTTCAGTAAGACCTTTCTCAACTGTCGTCTAACATTGAAATAATAAATGCATAAACAGAGAGTAATTCTTAAGTTTCATCTCTTCCCAATAGACGCTGAAACTCCTTTGGGCTTTTCATAATATACATTTGAATTGACGTTAGGCATTTGGACTCCACCTTGGTCTTCTTCACTAAGACACGGCAGGTGTGTGATGCTCTACACAACTCCCCATCCCCGCCTTCGAGAAAAGAGGCAAAAACCTTTAAATAAGCGACGAGGAACAGGGGAAAAAGAATGAGTAAGAGTCGAATAAACGTGGGAGTGAGAAAAGGAAGAGTTCTGTGATGTAAGTCCGACTCAGAACATAAGGTATTGTGACAGCGGCGTGAGGCAGTGCGGTCGAGAGGGAGCGTCTAGCATCGCGTATCATCTTCAGGTTCTGTCAGTTATATGATACGGCTTGTCCTTGCTTCGCCACTCGACATCCTGTGCGAGATTCTCATCCTCTGATTCCTCCTTGCCTGTATCCTACTTTACCTACCTCCTTTTTTTCATACCCTACCTGAAGACTAATTTCCTCCTTATCTGTATCTACCTTACCTACCTCCGTTTTATATATATATATATATATACCCTACCTGAACACTAATTTCCTTCTTGTCTGTATCCTACCTTACCTGACTTTTTTTTTTTCATACCCTACCTGAACACTAATTTCCTCCTTGTCTGTATCCTACCTTACCTCGTTTTTTTTTTTTTTTTTCATACCCTACCTGAGCACTAATTTCCTCCTTGTCTGTATCCTCCATTATTACCTCCGTTTTTTCATATCCTCCCTAAACACTAATTTCCTCCTTGTCTGTATCCTACCTTACCTGGCTCCGTTTTTTTTTTTTTTTTTTTTTCATATCTTCCCTGAACACTAATTTCCTCCTTGTCTGTATCCTCCCTTATTACCTCCGTTTTTTTTTATACCCTACCTGAAGACTAAGATTGCTCGCCTGTTTAGGGTTGTTAGAGAGAATATTCGTGGATGATGAGACGAGCCTGCATTGCGATGGTGCAATATCAAGGGATTAAAAATGGTAAAATCATTCTGGACAGCGAATTTTTCTTATGACGAAGTATCATTAGATAACTATTCATTATGCAAAGTAGGTGAATAGTCTGCCGATCGGAGGATGATGTAAAAAGCAGAAATGATTATATGCCAAATCATAATCGTGAAATCAAACCGCTGTTACAAATAGTGTGTTGCGTCTGCTTGTGCATATGACTTAATTACGTAAAATCATATAGCTGTCAGCTTTATATATAACCTATAAAAGGTAATATTCCCAATAACGAAGCAGATGACACGAATATGATATGTACAGGTGCGAGTTAAAAATGCGTGTTTAATATATAAAACGCGTTAATTTAGCTCTCAGCATACTGCAACATAATGAAGCATACTTTATTGGTCAGACTGAAGACCGTAGAAATGCAAATAAACACATGAATCATCTTGTTCTGTAATCTAGCTAATGCCATACGCTAGAATTGCGTATTCGTGTGTGCATATGTTTTTTTTTTTTGTGAGAGTGTGTGTGTGTTGTGTGTGTTGTGTGTGTGTGTGTGTGTGTGTGTGTGTGTGTGTGTGGTGTGTGTTGTGTGTGTGTGTGTGTGTGTGTGTGTGTGTGTGTGTGTGTGTGTGTGTGTGAGCATAACTAATGAGCACGTGCGCCTGTACGTAAGCATATGTAAATGTCTATTTTTATAATGAATAAGTGACCACATAAACTATTCATAAAATAAGCTGCCGCGTCTATAAACTAATCTCCAAATCTTTCTTTTTACATAAAAAAATAATAATAATCTACAGTAGGCTATTATTTTTTTAATCGTATTTTACAATCATTCATTCATCACTGACCCTACTTTGCGCTGCCAAAACACAACTATACAGCATAACAGGGTTAGAAAAAAAATTTAGAGTCGCGATATAATTTCTTTTCTTAAGGTAACAACCCGAAAAAAATTAGTTCTGCCGCCTTGCCACTTTTTTATAAACCGTAAAAGCAAATATAGATTAATATCGTTGATCAAAGAAACTGGGAGATTTTACCTCTGACTCAAATAAATTCAGATCAACAGTGATTACTAGTTAGTTTTCGATGCGAATAACTTTTTTTTTCTTTTTTGGAAGCTGCATCCTAAACCCTTGATACAAATACGAACGCGCGGAGTTAAGGGACCATGCGTATAAAATGGCGCCAGATAGCAATGCCCGAAATACGACCGCACAGCCAGAAGTTCACATCATTTTGTATTCTTGATGGTGACACAATAAATGAATAAAAAAGAGAGAGAAAAAAAACAAGGATAACTGCACACACGCACGTACACCCCCGCATGACTAACTAACCGTGATTCGTGAGGTGTGCGGAGACGAGGCGGTTAAGCTGTGATTAGTATTCAACACGTGGGCACCCTAACACGCTGGCCGTATTGAGCGGTCACGCAGGGGCACCGAACCACAGGATCTCGGGAGCGGCCGGAGGGGGGAAAGTGGTGATAGACGAAGGAGGGAACCCAGATGAGGTGTCCTCCTTCGGGATGAAGGAGTGAGCGAGAGAGAGAGCAAAGAGAGAGAGAGGGGGGGGAGCAAAGAGGGAGAGAGGGGGGGGGCGGAGACAGACAGAGAGAGAGGGGGGAGGGGGACAGAGACGGAGAGAGAGAGGGGGGCGGAGACAGAGAGAGAGGGGGGGCAAAGAGAGAGAGAGTGGGGGGGGGCGGAGACAGACAGAGAGAGAGAGAGGGAGGATGGGGAACAGAGGAGGGAGGGGGAGCAAAGAGGGAGAGAGGGGAGGGTGGAGACAGACAGAGAGAGAGAGAGGAGGGGAGGGGGACAAAGAGAGAGAGGGGGGAGACACAGAGAGAAAGAGAGGGGGGAGCAAAGAGAGGAGGGGGAGACAGACAGAGAGAGAGAGGGGGAGGGGGACAGAGACGGAGAGAGAGAGGGAGAGCGGAGACAGACAGAGAAAAGAGGGGGAGAGAGAGAGAGAGAGAGAGAAACAGACAGAGAGAGAGATGGGTGAGAGGTTCAGTGTCCTCATGGTGGAATGGGGAAAGTGGGGGGGGGGAGAAGATTAGAGATGATGGGGAATGTGGAGGTGGGGATGGTGATAAATAAGGGATGATGGAGGGCAGGAAAATGATGTAGCATAAGAGAGTATTGAGTTCGATTCAACTGAAGTTGAGTACTGTCACTGTTCAGCTTTCATGGTCAATAATTTCATACATATTTTTCTTACTGCAAATGAAATGATAACTTTGCCATTTCTGACGCTAATGATGATAATAATACCAAAAGTGATATAATTGACATTGAAATTATGATTACTGTAACGGCAATTAAAGAATTAATTACAGTAACCATTACATTAAAGTTGATATTTATATAGTTAATAATCTTGGTAACTATTAATGATAGGTTTTGATGTCGAAAATGATAATGTAACAACTGTTAATAATCATCATTATCATTATCATCATGATAGCAAGAATGACAATAATGATAACCGTACTGATCATCATGATAA